ATTCTCCAATGGTTTGTAAGTTTTATACATTTGAGTAAATAATTTTCTTTTATCATATTTCTTCCTCTTATCAATATATTTTATTGTCAACTTTCATATAAATCTAGTCAAGCTCTTTTTATGTGATTGTTGCATTATATTATATATTGATAGGTATTGTTTTATGAGTAGTCTTTTACTGCAATATTGCCAACGGTATATTGTCGCTCTTAGATTTCTCATAAGATAATTTTTCTTAATTCTAAACGTTAGAATTTTATTTACTCGAATACATTTTTAATTCATATGTTCTACAAATATTTATTTTCCGATTGATTATTTGGGATGTGAAACTTTCAATTGAGTCAATTTATGAATCAAAATCCAAATAGGTGAACAAAGCATACGGAAGATTCTCAAAGCCTTACCACTTTTTATTATTGAATTTTCTCCATTTTAAATTGTTCAAAAAATCATCAAAAATACTCATTCCTTTTCTTTGTTTGATTGCTTATTTTCCTAACGCGTTTTATTTACTAGTCATTTCTTGTTCAATTTAACACCTCCTCGTGGAATCGACCGTTCAAATTGTACTACAATTAACCGCTTGTTTTTGTACACGTTTGGGCGTAATCACCAACCATCTTTTTATATGGGTCGGACTGAGCCTATCCAGACTAGAAACTAGATCGGGTCCGCGACTGGTTTTCTTCACAGGGTTAAACTCATGCTTGTTCATTTACATTTTTTGAGTTAGGGTGACTTGAGTTCAGATCTTAATTTGAGTTAAGGTATATTTGAATATAGTTTGAGTTATAACTTTAATTTGAGTTTGTGTTTTGATGTGCATATTTTGAGTTATGGTTTGAATTAAGAATCTATTTGAGTTTTTATTTGAGTGGGTCAAAACTGAATTTGTATTTGGATAGTATTTTAATAAAAACTCAATGGTGACGGAACATTTTAATAGGGTATATGGGTAGAGTTTTATTCGTCTTTTCGTTGTTAACGGATAGAAAAAAAAATCATCTCAATCGGAATTAAAACGAAAAAATTATGGTGTTTTTAAGAATATAAAATACTGTTAATTTACTTGAGTTTGAGTTTAAAAATATGAGTTGAAAGGGGAACTTAAATTCAAATTTTAGCCTCAAACTCAAATTTTATAAAATAACATAAACTTAAATAAAATTATAACTTCTCATCTATTGCTCCGCAAACAAATTATTGATGTCATGGGTCTGGGCACTAGTGCTCTAATTCAGGCTATGCGATACCTTCATCTAAATTCTTATTTGAGGTTCATCTTTATTGCCCCATGATGATGTTCAAAGAAAGGAATTTTTGGTATTTTGTGCCTTGTATTTTAAAAGTATCAAAAGAAAATATTTCTTATAGTTTCTAGTGTTGCAAATTTTTATCTTTATATTTCAATTTTATGCAAATTCCAATCTTTTTCTTGGTTAAAATTGGTTTTGGCTAATAAAAAAGAAGCCGCAAATCCTGAAAGGAAAGAACAAGGAATTCGAAAACAAAAACAAAAAAAGGTGAAGGTAAAGGAAAAGGAAAAAAATTAAAAGAATTCTAAATTACAAAACACAAAATCAAAATAGAAAATCCGGCTCTAGTTGATTTTTCGATGCCCTTAAAATATTTGGTGCAAAAATATAAAAGCCTTTCATTTTAGGCGTTGTAAAATCTATCAAATGTTAATGTTCAAGTTGATAACTATTATCTTCTTAATCAAGAATTGTGCTCGTCGTGTTAGCCTAACGTGGAAAGGGTAATGTGGTGTTTAAGCCGTGCTCATATTCGTACAAGTCCTTTGTGCTGAAAATATGAGCCCAACAAGCTTTACCATCTTGTATTATGCTCAGCCCGGCCCAAAATAATCTTTTGTTGTTTTTCGTGCTTCAAAAATTTAAGAGATTTAAAGTTTCTAATACTAGGCTAATTTCTTCAGCAAGAAAAAAAAATATATATATATATATATGAGAATCTTTATGGTAAATAAGGTTATTTTACTCCGTCAATAAAAACGGTTATTTTTAACCATTGAGTTAAATTAGTTTTTTAACAATCAAATATGTGCATGTCCATCTTAAGTATTTACAACGTGTGAAA